GACTCCTTGTTCTATCTGAATGCTGAGGCCTGGTTGGTTCCTGCATACAGCAGCAGTAATCTGTATAATTCAGCTCTGCTAGCACTATCAGCACTATCACCCTGAATTACTCATTATAGAAGACTTATGCACAGCCCAGTGCTCCCAGTATACACAGCCCTGTGCTCCCAGTATGCTCTGCCTACTCCCAGTATACACAGCCCTGTGCTCCCAGTAATGATCCTAGTATACACAGCCCAGTGCTCCCAGTGTACACACACACACACAGCCCAGTGCTCCCAGTGTACACACACACACACACACTCCCACACACACACCCACACACACACACACACAGCCCAGTGCTCCCAGTGTACACACACACACAGCCCAGTGCTCCCAGTAAACACACACACACACAGCCCAGTGCTCCCAGTAAACACACACACACAGCCCAGTGCTCCCAGTAAACACACACACGCAGCCCAGTGCTCCCAGTAAACACACACACAGCCCAGTGCTCCCAGTAAACACACACACAGCCCAGTGCTCCCAGTAAACACACACACACCCAGTGCTCCCAGTAAACACACACACACAGCCCAGTGCTCCCAGTACACACACAACCCAGTGCTCCCAGTAAACACACACACAGCCAGTGCTCCCAGTACACACACACACACACACACAGCCCAGTGCTCCAGTAAACACACACACACAGCCCAGTGCTCCCAGTAAACACACACACACAGCCCAGTGCTCCCAGTAAACACACACAACACAGCCCAGTGCTCCCACACACACACCAGCCCAGTGCTCCCAGTAAACACACACACAGCCCAGTGCTCCCACACACACACACACACAGCCCAGTGCTCCCAGTAAACAGTAACACACAGCCCAGTGCTCCAGTAAACACACACACACAGCCCAGTGCTCCCAGTAAACACACACACAGCCCAGTGCTCCCAGTAAACACACACACACAGTGCTCCCAGTAAACACACCCACACACACACACAGCCCAGTGCTCCCAGTAAACACACAGCCCAGTGCTCCCAGTAAACACACAGCCCAGTGCTCCCAGTACACACACACAGCCCAGTGCTCCCAGTACACCACACACACACACACACACACACACACACAGTGCACAGCGCTCCCAGTACACACACACACACACCCCAGTGCTCCCAGTAAACACACACACACAGCCCAGTGTGCTCCCAGTAAACACACACACACAGCCCAGTGCTCCCAGTAACACACACACACCCAGTGCTCCCAGTAAAACACACACACACACCCACACACAGCCCAGTGCTCCCAGTAAACACACACACCCCAGTGCTCCCAGTAAACACAGCCCAGTGCTCCCAGTAAACACACACACACACAGCCCAGTGCTCCCAGTAAACACACACACACAGCCCAGTGCTCCCAGTAAACACACACACACCACCAGTGCTCCCAGTAAACACACACACACACAGCCCAGTGCTCCCAGTAAACACACACACACACCCAGTGCCAGTGTAAACACAACACACACAGCCCCAGTGCTCCCAGTAAACACACACACAGCCCAGTGCTCCCAGTAAACACACACACACACAGCCCAGTGCTCCCAGTAAACACACACACACACAGCCCAGTGCTCCCAGTAAACACACACACAACACAGCCCAGTGCTCCCAGTAAACACACACACCCCAGTGCTCCCAGTAAACACACACACACACAGCCCAGTGCTCCCAGTAAACACACACACACACCCCAGTGCTCCCAGTAAACACACACACACAGCCCAGTGCTCCCAGTAAACACACACACAGCCCAGTGCTCCCAGTAAACACACACACACACAGCCCAGTGCTCCCAGTAAACACACACACACACAGCCCAGTGCTCCCAGTAAACACACACACACACAGCCCAGTGCTCCCAGTAAACACACACACACAGCCCAGTGCTCCCAGTAAACACACACACACAGCCCAGTGCTCCCAGTAAACACACACACACACAGCCCAGTGCTCTCAGTAAAACACACACACAGCACCCAGTGCTCCCAGTAAACACACACACAGCCCAGTGCTCCCAGTAAACACACACACACACAGTGCTCCCAGTAAACACACACACACAGCCCAGTGCTCCCAGTAAACAACACACACACACACACACACAGCCCAGTGCTCCCAGTAAACACACACACACACAGCCCAGTGCTCCCAGTAAACACACACACACACACACACAGCCCAGTGCTCCCAGTAAACACACACACACACAGCCCAGTGCTCCCAGTAAACACACACACACAGCCCAGTGCTCCCAGTAAACACACACACACACAGCCCAGTGCTCCCAGTAAACACACACACACAGCCCAGTGCTCCCAGTAAACACACACACACACAGCCCAGTGCTCCCAGTAAACACACACACACACACAGCCCAGTGCTCCCAGTAAACACACACACACACACACAGCCCAGTGCTCCCAGTAAACACACACACCACACACACACACACACCCAGTGCTCCCAGTAAACACACACACACACACAGCCCAGTGCTCCCAGTAAACACACACACACAGCCCAGTGCTCCCAGTAAACACACACACACACAGCCAGTGCTCCCAGTAAACACACACACACACACACAGCCCAGTGCTCCCAGTAAACACACACAGCCCAGTGCTCCCACACACACACACACCCCCAGTGCTACCAGTAAACACACACACACACAGCCCAGCCCAGTGCTCCAGTAACACACACACACACACACACACACACAGCCCCCAGTGCTCCCAGTAAACACACACACACACACACACCCCCAGCTGCTCCCAGTAAACACACACACACACACAGCCCAGTGCTCTCCAGTAAACACACACACACACAGCACAGTGCTCTCCCAGTAGTAAACACACACACACACACACACACACACACAGCCCAGTGCTCCCAGTAAACACACACACCCACACACACCAGTGCTCCCAGTAAACACACACACCCCAGTGCTCCCAGTAAACACACACACACACACACAGCCCAGTGCTCCCAGTAAACACACACACACAGCCCAGTGCTCCCAGTAAACACACACACACACACCAGTGCTCCCAGTAAACACACACACACACACAGCCCAGTGCTCCCAGTAAACACACACACAGCCCAGTGCTCCCAGTAAACACACACACAGCCCAGTGCTCCCAGTAAACACACACAGCCCAGTGCTCCCAGTAAACACACACACACAGCCCAGTGCTCCCAGTAAACACACACACACACAGCCCAGTGCTCCCAGTAAACACACACACACACAGCCCAGTGCTCCCAGTAAACACACACACACACACAGCCCAGTGCTCCCAGTAAACACACACACACACACACAGCCCAGTGCTCCAGTAAAACACACACACACACACAGCCCAGTGCTCCCAGTAAACACACACACACACAGCCCAGTGCTCCCAGTAAACACACACACACACACAGCCCCAGTGCTCCCAGTAACACACACACACACAGCCCAGTGCTCCCAGTAAACACACACACACAGCCCAGTGCACACACACACACACACACAGCCCAGTGCTCCCAGTAAACACACACACACAGCCCAGTGCTCCCAGTAAACACACACACACAGCCCAGTGCTCCCAGTAAACACACACACACAGCCCAGTGCTCCCAGTAAAACACACACACACAGCCCAGTGCTCCCAGTAAACACACACACACACAGCCCAGTGCTCCCAGTAAACACACACACACACACACACCCAGTGCTCCCAGTAAACACACACACACAGCCCAGTGCTCCCAGTAAACACACACACACACAGCCCAGTGCTCCCAGTAAACACACACACACACACACAGCCCAGTGCTCCCAGTAACACACACACACAGCCCAGTGCTCCCAGTACACACACACACACAGCCCAGTGCTCCCAGTAAACACACACACACACACACACACACACACCCCAGTGCTCCCAGTCCAACACACACACACACACACACAGCCCAGTGCTCCCAGTAAACACACACACACACAGCCCAGTGCTCCCAGTAAACACACACACACAGCCCAGTGCTCCCAGTAAACACACACACACACACAGCCCAGTGCTCCCAGTAAACACACACACACACACAGCCCAGTGCTCCCAGTAAACACACACACACAGCCCAGTGCTCCCAGTAAACACACACACACACACACAGCCAGTGCTCCCAGTAAAACACACACACACACAGCCCAGTGCTCCCAGTAAACACACACACACACAGCCCAGTGCTCCCAGTAAACACACACACACACAGCCCAGTGCTCCCAGTAAACACACACACACACAGCCCAGTGCTCCCAGTAAACACACACACACAGCCCAGTGCTCCCAGTACACACACACACACAGCCCCCCAGTGCTCCCAGTACAACACACACAGCCCAGTGCTCCCAGTACACACACACACAGCCCAGTGCTCCCAGTACACACACAGCCCAGTACACACACAGCCCAGTGCTCCCAGTACACACACACACACAGTGCTCCCAGTACACACACAGCCCAGTGCTCCCAGTACACACACAGCCCAGTGCTCCCAGTACACACACAGCCCAGTGCTCCCAGTACACACACACACACAGCCAGTGCTCCCAGTACACACACAGCCCAGTGCTCCCAGTACACACACACACAGCCCAGTGCTCCCAGTACACACACACACAGCCCAGTGCTCCCAGTACACACACAGCCCAGTACACACACAGCCCAGTACACACAGATCAGCCCTAGTGATGGGCCCCCGTCAGGTCCCGCAGCCTCTCCGGGCCACAGCACACACAAAGCAGAGGCTCGGGCCGGCGGTGGGGTCGGGTCTGGCCCGGCAGGATCGGGTGTTGGGCTCTCGGTCCTCTCGTTGGCCCTCCCCAGGACTCCCCGCACAAAAGACGGCCGTCCCTCCCCGCTCCTCCGGCCTTACCTAGAGCGCAGTGGGCGGCGGGGCCCCGGACCAGGCTTTGGAGGGCCCCCCGGAGAACAGCGCTGAAGGCCTTTGGGCCAAACCGGGCCGGATCCGCTAAGCGGTGCAAACCCCTCTGCCCGTCTTCCGACACCTCCATTGTGAGAGCGACCTTCCACCCCACCACGTGACCCGACCAGCTGACAGCCCGGGACTCTGCCTGTGTATGCATCCTCCATGTGGCCGTCCCCACACCCCCGTCATCCTCCATGTGTCTGATTTATACACCTTCACCCTCCATGTAGCTGATCTACACCCCCATCACCCTACATGTGTCAGTCCTCACTCCACCACCCTACATGTGTCTGATCTATACATCACCACCCTCCATATGTCTGATCCACACACCAACCACACCCAACACCCTCCATATGTCTGATCCACACACCATCACCCTCCAAGTGTCTGATCTACAACCCATCACCCTCCATGTGTCTGATGGATGGAGGATGTCATTCCCCCCTCTAACACTCCCTCTCTTCCTGTCATGCTGATCCAGAGGCTTCAGTCCTGAGTGACTTCACTCTCCAGGATGAGGACTGACAGTGCCTGTGGTGCATACCCCACCCTGGGTGCCCCCACCCCACTTTATCATGTTACTTGTCACTCATGGATTATTATTATACAGGATATAAATAGCGCCAGGATAGATATGTTATTTCTGTTTGGCACATTTAATATCTCAGCTGATAAACAATGTACAAAACAATGTATCATTTCTCTTTGTTTTGCCTTCATTGTATCAAACCTTTAAAATCCCAATCCAATAGATGGGAAAGAACTCCTCCCCCTCCTGTTGTGAGAAGAGGAATGTGAACCCTGGGAGTGCAAGGGTTACCCTGGTGTATGCTCAGGGACAGGGCCAAGGAGATTTACTTAAAGGGTAACTCCACTTCCGTGGAAAAAAACATAGCAGGTTAAAAAATATATATAGTATATTACCAGGGGTCTGCAACCTTTAAGACATAAAAAAGAGCCACTTGGACCCGTTTCTGAGAGGGAAAAAAAGACTGGGAGCCGCAAAAACCCATTGCAACATTTAAAACAAAATCCGACACCACCATATATTGCAAAAAGCGCTCTGGTCATGAAGGGGGTTTAAGGGCCCAGTAAGCAAAGGGTTAATCTGGGCCACAGTGTATCATCATAATCACAATCATAGCTTAGGTCAGTGGTGGGCAACCTTTTTTTTCAACTGAGCCAAATCTCGCCAAAACCACGATTGAAATTTATTTTGAGAGCCACATTTTTAAAAGCTGAAAATACATCCCCCATATAGTAATTCATCCCCCATAGTAATTCATCCCCCATATAGTAATTCATCCCCCATAGTAGTTCATCCCCCATAGTAATTCATCCCCCATAGTAATTCATCCCCATATAGTAAGTCATCCCCCATAGTAGTTCATCCCCCATAGTAATTCATCCCCCATATAGTAATTCATCCCCCATATAGTAATTTCATCCCCCATAGTAATTAATCCCCATATAGTAATTCATCCCCCATAGTAATTCATCCCCCATAGTAATTTCATCCCCCCCTATAGTAATTCATCCCCCATATAGTAATTCATCCCCCATAAAGTAATTCATCCCCCATAGTAATTCATCCCCCATATAGTAATTCATCCCCCATATAGGCATTTACTAGTAATTCATCCCCCCCTTTAGTAATTCATCCCCATATAGTAATTCATCCCCCATAAAGTAATTCATCCCCCATAGTAATTTCATCCCCCATATAGTAATTCATCCCCCCATATAGTAATTCATCCCCCGTATAGTAATTCATGCCCCCTATAGTAATTCATTTCCCCATATTAATTCATCCCCCATATTAAGTCCCCAAGTCCCCCCTGTGTCAATTCACTTACCTTTGCTCCTCGCGTTCCTCTCGCTGTGTTCCCGCGCCGTTCCGGTGTAGCATGAAAATCTGTCATCCTATGAGGTGCTGTCCCCCTCGACGTATCTGCGCATGTGCCAGTTTCAGGCATTAGCAGCCGATCGGCGATCTCCGACACATGCGCAGATACGTCGAGGGGGACAGATCCTCATAGGAGACAGATTTTCATGCTACACCGGTCTTCAGGGCGGACTGTGAGAGGAGCTAGCAGGAGCCTAGCTCCGCAGGCCGGATTAAAAGGTCTGCCGGGACTGGACGGGCCGTAGTTTGCCCATTGCTGCCCTATTGCCTGTCACCTGGTGGGCAGTGTGCTCCGGAGCCGCAGCCAAGGTGAAAAAAGAGCCGCATGCGGCTCTGGAGCCGCGGGTTGCAGACACCCGGTATATACCATTGTTACACTAGCCACATTGTAGTTAACTGTTATAAAAATGACCTTTCCTTTTATCCCCGTTCACACCGCTGCGACTTCAGGTGCAACATGCGATTTACTAATGCACCTGAAGTCACATTCAATGCATTTCTATGGCACTGTCTTAATAAGGTGCAATTTAAAAAATAGTTCCTGCATTACTTTTTCACCACTTCAGTGCAATATAACTCTCATAGACTATAAGGTAAATGGCAATGAAATCGCACCTGTATCTATATCAGCGCTGCTTTGAAGTCATGCTTTAAATGGGGCCAAATCGCACCAATTTGAAATCACATTTGGTGTGAACCAGGGATTAATCTGCAGCGCTGTCATGCTCTGTAAATTCAGTGCAATCTGACAACATGGAGGCGTTCTGTACACAGAGAGTGCAGGGAACATTCCCCAGAAATGTCATTTCCTGCTTGTGTGAAGAACTCTGCACTAAGATACAAATCAGGTTGCAGGCCTCATTCACACTGGTGAATATATGTGTGCCCATACAGGGTTGTGTTACCGGCACAGGGATGCACAGGTGTCTATACATCCCCGTGCCAGCAGTCCCATGGACGACTATAGGGACATATATCTGCACAAACACAGTCACTGTGCCCCAATGTGACATCCATGTGGGTGTGTTTGTTGCTGTGGACTGCTGGCACCAGGATGCACGGAACACCGGTGCACCCTTCTGTGGGCAAAACACAACACTGCATGGGGAAACAAGTATTCACCCGTGTGAATGAGGCATCCTCTGCAACAAAAATGTAATTTGTAGGAAGATACTCCCAAAGAGCTAATCTTTTCTAAAGGTATGCAGACATTGCAGCTTTTCTATTAAAACACAGAAAGTGCATGAGCTAATAACCACTTCACCATACCCCATACCAGTGTTGTGATTACACCATATGCCAGACCAGCATCCTGATCACCACCATACCTCTTACCAGTGCTGTGATTACACCATATGCCAGACCAGCATCCTGATCACCACCATACCTCATACCAGTGCTGTGATTACACCATATGCCAGACCAGCATCCTGATCACCGCCATACCCCATACCAGCATCCTGATCACCACCATACCTCATACCAGTGCTGTGATTACACCATATGCCAGTGACCAGCATCCTGATCACTGCCATACCCCCATACCAGCATCCTGATCACCACCATACCCCATACCAGCATCCTGATCACCACCATACCCCATACCAGCATCCTGATCACCCATACCCCATGCCAGCATCCTGATCACTGCCATACCCCATACCAGCATCCTGATCACCACCATACCCCATGCCAGCATCCTGATCACTGCCATACCCATACCAGCGTCCTGATCACCGCCATACCCCATACCAGCATCCTTATCACTGCCATACAACATACCAGTGTCCTGATCACCGCAATACCCCATACCAGCATCCTGATCACCGCCATACCCCATACCAGCATCTTGATCACCACCATACCCCATACCAGCATCCTGATCACCGCCATATACCCCATACCAGCATCCTGATCACCGCCATACCCCATACCAGCATTCTGATCACCATCATCATACCCCCATACCAGCATCTTGATCACCCCTATACCAGTGTCCTCATCACCGTCATACCCCATACCAGCATCCTGATCACCCCTATACCAGTGTCCTGATGACCGCCATACACCATACCAGCATCCTGATAACCACCATACCCCATACCAGCATTTTTATCACCCCATATGCCATACCAAAATCCTGATCACCATCATACCCCATACCAGTGCTGTGATTACACCATATGCCAGACCAGCATCCTGATCACCACCATACCTCATACCAGTGCTGTGATTACACCATATGCCATACCAGCATCCTGATCACCACCATACCTCATACCAGTGCTGTGATTACACCATATGCCAGACCAGCATCCTGATCACCGCCATACCCCATACCAGCATCCTGATCACCACCATACCCCATACCAGCATCCTGATCACCACCATACCCCATACCAGCATCCTGATCACCACCATACCCCTATACCAGCGCCCTGATCACCACCATACCCCATGCCAGCATCCTGATCACTGCCATACCCCATACCAGCATCCTGATCACCGCCATACCCCATACCAGCATCCTTATCACTGCCATACAACATACCAGTGTCCTGATCACCGCAATACCCCATACCAGCATCCTGATCACCGCCATACCCCCCATACCAGCATCCTGATCACCACCATACCCCATACCAGCATCCTGATCACCGCCATACCCCTTACCAGCATCCTGATCACCACCATACCCCATACCAGCATTCTGATCACCATCATACCCCATACCAGCATCTTGATCACCCCTATACCAGTGTCCTCATCACCGTCATACCCCATACCAGCATCCTGATCACCCCTATACCAGTGTCCTGATGACCGCCATACACCATACCAGCATCCTGATAACCACCATACCCCATACCAGCATTTTTATCACCCCCATATGCCATACCAAAATCCTGATCACCACCATACCCCATACCAGTGTCCTGATTACCACTATACCCCATACCAGCATTCTAATCACCGCTATATCCCATACCAGCATCCTGATCACCCCTATATCAGTGTCCTGATGACCGCCATACCCCATACTAGTGTCCTGCCGACCGCCATACCCCATACCAGTGTCCTGATCACCACCATACCCCATACCAGCATCCTGATCACTGCCATACAACATACCAGTGTCCTGATCACCCCTATACCAGTGTCCTGATGACTGCCATACCCCATACCATCATCCTGATCCCCGCCGTACCCCATACCAGCATCCTGATATCTGCCACACCCCATACCAGCGTCCTGATCCCCGCCATACCCCATACCAGCATTTTTTATCACCCCATATGCCATACCAACATCCTGATCACCAACATAAACCATACCAGCATCCTGATCTCCACCATACCCCATATCAGTGTCCTGATTACCACCATAACCACCCCCATACCAGCATCCTGATCACTGCTATATCCCATACCAGCATCCTGGTCACCCCTATATCAGTGTCCTGATAACCGCCATACACCATACCAGCATCCTGATTACCGCCATACCCCAAGGCAGCATCCTGATCACCCTTATACCAGTGTCCTGATGACCGCCATACACCATACCAGCGTCCTGATCCCCACCATATCCCATACCAGCATTTTTATCACTCCATATGCCATACCAATGTCCTGATCACCACCATAAACCATACCAGCATCTTGATAACCACCATATCCCATACCAGTGTCCTGATCCCCACCATACCCCATACCAGCATTTTTATCACCCCATGTGCCATACCAACATTCTGATCACCACCATAAATCATATCAGCATCCTGATTACCGCCATACTCCATGCCAGCGTCCTGATTACTGCCATACCCCATACTAGAGTCCTGATCACCCACCATACCCCATACCAGAGTCCTGATCACTGCCATAACCTAAACCAACATCCAGATCACCAACATACACAATAACAGTGTTCTGATCTCTGCCATACACCATACCAGCGTCCTGATCACTGCCATACCAGCGTCCTGATCACTGCCATACCCCATACCAGCATCCGGGTCACCTTCATACCAGTGTCCTGATCACTGCTTTACCCAATGCCAGTGTCTTGATAACCTCCATACCCCATACCAGCATCCTGATCACCGCCATACCCCAAAAGCAGCATCCTGCTTACCGCCATATCCCATACCAGAGTCCTGATCACTATACACCATATCAGTGTCCTGATCACCGCCATACCCTATACCAGCATCCTGATCACCGCCATACTCCATACCAGCATCCTGATCACTGCCATACTCCATACCAGCATCCTGCTTACCGCCATATCTCATACTAGAGTCCTGATCACTGCCATACCTCAAACCAATATCCTGATCACCACCATACCCAATACCAGTGTCCTGATCACCGCCATACACGATACCAGCATCCTGATCACCATTATACCAGCCTCCTGATCACCGCCATACTCCATACCAGCGTCCTGATCACCATTATACCAGCCTCCTGATCACCGCCATACTCCATACCAGCGTCCTGATCACCTTCATACTAGTGTCCTGATCACTGCTATACCCTATACCAGTGTCCTGATCACCGCCATACCTCTTAACAACATCCTGATCACCACCATACCCTATACCAGCGTCCTCATCACCGCCATATTCCATATCAGCATCCTCATCACCGCCATACCCCAAACCAGAGTCCTGATCACCGCCATACCTCATACCTACATCCTGATCACCACCATACCTCATACCAATGTCCTGATCACCCGATATGCCTTACCAGCATCCGGCATTTTAGGGTCTTAACTGATCAATTTTCAGAAATATATCCCATAGTTTGTAGACTCTGTAACTTTTACACAGACTAAATAATATAGACTGTTCTGGGTTAGTTTTACCCAAAATATGTAGCAGAATACATTTTGGCCTAAATTTAAGAAGCAAGATTATTTATTTGCAAAATTTTATAACAAAAACTAAGTAAAAAGTTTATTTTCAAAATGTTTTTCATTTAAATAGCAATAAATAAAAAACTCAGTGGTGAATAAATACCATCAAAAGAAAGCTCTATCTGTCTAAAAAAAAAAAGATAAAATTGTATTATGGTTACAATGTTGCATCACTGAGTAATTGTCGCTCAAAGTGTTGAAAGCTGAAAATTGGCCTGGACTGGAAGGGAGGTTAAAGTGTCTGGACTTGAAGTGGTTAAAATGAATTGGCCACTCCCTTTCACAATCAGTATCTAAAAGACATAGTGGAACAAACAGCTTTTTCTTCAGAGCAGAAACAGGTAGGAATCTGTAACACTTGTTAAAATTGTTGCAATACACATGGAACACCTGGGGGGATTGTTTTTTCTTCCTCAATGACAAATTAAGTTACTCTTTAAAGTGGAACTATAGGAAAAACTGTATATGGATTGAGCCCTGGTTCACGCCAGTGTGACTTCCGGAGCGACAAGCGATTTACAAATCACACCTGAAGTCGTATCTAATGGATTTCTGAAGCACTGTCTTGATCAGTGCGATTTGAAGTAGTGCGATTTCAAAAATATTTCCTGCACTAGTTTTTTCCACTTTCATTGCAATTTGCATTGACTTCTGTTAACCACTTCCTGTCCGGACACTTTCACCCCCTTCCTGTCCAGGGCAATTTTCAGCTTTCAGCGCTATCACACTTTGAATGACAATTGCGCGGTCATGCAATACTGTACCCATATGAATTTTTTACCATTTTTTGAGACAGATAAAGCTTTATTTTGGTGGTATTTATTCACCGCTGGGATTTTTATTTTTTTTTGCTATGTAAATGAAAAAGTCCAAAAATTTTGAAAAAAAAGTGTTTTTCTTATAAAATTTTGCAAATAAATAATCTTTCATCATAAATCTTGGCCGAAATGTATTCCGTTATCTTTTTAGTAAAAAAAAAAATAAGCCAAATTAGTTTATAACCAAAAATTATAATTTTTAAAAAGTTTTTTTTACATTTTTATTTTATTTTTTTATATTATTATTTATGTTTTTTTTTTTTTAAATACTGTCACCCTAGCAGTACAGTGTCACCATGGTGACACTGTACTACTTGTGGGGGGTGATGAAGATTTTTTTTTTTTTACAGTGATTGCTTTTACACCCATATAGGATGTAAAAGCAATCATTTCTCTTTCTCTCTGTCTGCATTCTTGCAGCCATTGAGAACTACTGAGTGAGCTGTGATTGGTCACACCTTGTCACATGGTACAAGGCTGTTGTGAATAGCCTTGTACTATGTGACCTCTGTGATCATTCACAGATTTCACACGTAGTAAGCAATGATGTCACAAGTAACATCTTGCTTACTACTTTGCATGTAATCACTGATTGGCCAATCAGTGATCACATGATTGGGACCTCATACAGAGTTCCTGTCCAACGATCGGTGTTTCACTGTGTCCGGAGGACAAAGCGGGCACCGGATTGCGGTGCTGCACGCTCCTAGGGAGCGCGCACAGCTAGAAATGGCGGGTCCCTGGAGTGCCACCGTCCTGCCATTTATAAACAGCAGGCGGACGGCAAGTGGTTAAATGAAGTTGCAAGCCACAGTGAAATTGGAGGTACAAATCGCATTGGTCTGCTGCTTTGAAATTGCACTACTTCAAGTGAAGTATCACAATTTCAAAGTTGCATTCAATGTGAACCAGTCATAAGGAAGGGTCAATTTTAACCCCTGTCAGGTAGGTAGATTGGGTGAATCTCCCTAACAAGGGCACAAACAGCAATAAAAATCTGACAGGTATTCTAATTTCTCCCCACTCTATCCAACACAAAAAAAAAAGTTATGCCTTTAGCTATGCTTTAAACTCAGCACACTCATTACAATTTTGCTGTACAATCTCCTTTAGATCTATCAACAACTATGTTGTACAAGACTGAATACAGGTTAACTTGGTAGATGTGGTAGATAAGGTAGGTCCTTATATTACAAAGTTTGGTAAATCAAAAATTGATTGTACAATCAGATAGCAGTGTGTATGGTGACCTTTAGCTGATCCTCTGCTTTTCCCTGCAGCTTCCTCTCTCCTGCACTTTTGCTCTCTGATGTCATTCAGACTGATGCAGAAACTGTAGCCTTGCACTGGACGTGGGGCCGCCAAGGGACAGTCCACTGTTGGATCTGAGAGGAGTGCCATCTGCCAGGGTGAGTGGAGGATCAGGTAAGTAGAAGTGCTTTGTATGCCCTCTAGACATAAACGGGCAGTTACCTCTTGCAGTGCAGGCCCTGCTCCACATCAGCGGAGGCTTCTTTAGTTTTCTCGAGTTCAGCTTTAATATTTATTTATAGTATAACTAAAGACAAAACTTTTTTCTAGTTTTGGATAGAGTGGAGAAGGATTAGAACACATTTCAGGTTTTTATTGGTGTCTGTGCCCCATTATGGAGATTCACATAATCTCCTGTTTACTGTTATCACTGAAAGAAAAACTAAAATAAAATCCTATGTTTTGGGTTGTCCCCAGAACAGGAGTAGAGGAGAAATCTTTCAATGGGGAGACTAGTTCTGGTGACAGCCAGAGATTCCTTCACTTTGGAGCAGGGGCGGACTGACAACTCATGGGGCCCCCGGGCAATAGGGGATCATGGGGCCCCTGTGTCCTTGCCCAAACTCAAAAAAGCCTATGAAAAAGGTACCAGGGGCATCTCATGGGGCCCCCTACTGACCCCGGGCCCTCGGGCAGTGCCCGAGTTTCCAAATGGTCAGTCCGCCCCTGCTTTGGAGGGATTCCTTCACTCCTTGTTTTGGCTATGGGACAGGAAGTGAAGGGAAATCTCTGCAATGGGACACAGATGGTAGAAAAAAAAACTGAGAGGGGTTATAACCATTCTTTACTCCATCCAAAACAAATAAAAAATAAAGTTTTGACTTTACCTCTACTTTAACATTTATTTATCACATATCTATTGTAGAGATAACAGATCAGCTTTACATGCCATTGATAGTTTAATTGTTTAGCGCAGAGTAATTTTTTTAATATAAAAGTGTATCCAAAGCTAAAACTTTTTTTTTTCATTTTGAATGGAGTAGGAAGGAGTTAAAAATCCTGTTGGGTCTTTTTTTTTTCCACTGGGGTAATTTCACTTTACTTCCTGTAGACATGATAGGAAGGGAGTGGACCCCCCCCCCCCCTTTTGGACAAGTGTCCCCAAGGAAGAATTTTCCATTTCTACTCCTGAGACAGCTGTAACGTTTTGGATGTTTCCTCACTTGCAGTCCCAGAGACAATCGTCACCACACAGACTGCAGTAAAAGTCTGAAAGGGGTTGTAACCCCATCACCACTCTATTCAGGACCTATTTTTTCCTTTACATACACTTTATAAAGGCTAAGTTCACTTATGGGGAAAAATAATAAATGTACATATTTTTTCCAGTAAGTTCAACAAAACAAGCTTTCCTGCAGATGTAGCAGTTAGAGGGTTGGGATGAATCATTTAACACTGACAGGGGTGCTTATGTATCTTAATGATCAACGTTTATTTATTTCTGTAAAATCTTTATCTCAAATGGAGAAAAAAACTGTTTGCTGTAACTGCTCATAAAGTGTAATGCCGGCCATAGACGGTTCAAAAATCGGATGATTTTCGCACTGTTTGTGGGTTAATTGGTTGGCCGGTTTTCGGGTTTTTTGCACTTTTAGATTATCGTTCATGTTGGAAAATTTGCAGAAAATGGACGATTTTCGTGGCAGTGATGGCCAAATCAGACGATCGTTTTAATGAAAAAAATTTGCGCATGAGCTGTGACCTGCAAGGAACAGAAGTTTGGCTGTTATATTGGGTGAACTTTATGATTTAGTCGGCCAATTTTTGTAATCGTTGGTGGTAACGTCGGCTTAACAAACGACCGTTTTTTTCATTTATCGTTCGAAAAATCGGCCAATGTTTGACCTGTCTATGGCCTGCATTAGCTGGTTTGGCTTTAATATGTTAGTGTATCTAAATCTGCTAGTACTTTTAACATTACCAGTCCCCACAGACTAACAATATTGCTGTCCTAAGGTGCCCCTGTGCTTCTTCATCCAGATTAGAGGCACTGGTGTGGTACTGGCCAGATAACCAGGTAAAAACAGAGGTAAAAAGAAAACCAATGCAGCCACCACATCTAATGGTTGGTAAGCTTCAATATATATCAGTTTTGGGTTTAATACTGCTTGGAGTACATGTTTTTTGGCAAGTCAGACAGTTCACACTTATAAATCATATGCGAAAGTATCTGTTTTCCTGCACTTCCACTTTAAGGCATATAATGAAACATAGTGACTGCATTTCTTTTTATTTATAGCCTCTGACAATTAAGATGGGAAGGGCGCAGGATATTCACACCGGCAATTCCAGTTACTATGTGGATAAAGCCTTAGGGTGTAGCCAGTGCAACTTCTTCACATTTTACCCAGTCCAGTTAAAGTGACTGTCACCTTGGCCTCAAAACTTCCCAATAGCCCCCCAGCAAGATACACTTACTGATCTAAGCCCCTTCTCTCCATCAAAGCCCTCTGCTTTTAACATGTGCTACATTGTGCTGTACATATAGGTTGCAGTGTTTTGTTATTTATTCTGTATAGTATACCAAGGCATCTGTTCTTCACTGCACCACAAAGCTCGTATGGGAATCTACGTGTGTTACAGTGTGCTGTGGTTCTCAAATGTAGTCCAGGCACTTAATTTATTGTGCTGAAGCTCCTTAAAGTGGAGCTTTAACCTCTTTTTAAACTTTCCTCAATATTACTTTTTATCCCCTACTCTAATATAATGTGTATATATATATATTAAATTTATTCCAGGTACTTATATAGCAACATCAATTACATATATTGTACGTTCATATCAGTCCCTAACCATCAATACACACACATACTAGGGCCAATTTAAACAGGATCCAGTTAAGGTACCAGCATGTATTTGGAGTGTAGGAGGAAAACCAGAGTACCTGAAGGAAACCCATGCAGGCACAAGGAGCACATGCACACTCCGTACAGGTAGTGTCATGGTTGGGATTCAAACCAACAACCCTAGTACCAGGGGCGGATTGACAACTCATGGGGCCCCCGGGCAATAGGGATCATGGGTCCCCTGTGTCCTTGCCCAAACTCAAAAAAGCCTATGAAAAAGGTACCAGGGGCATCTCATGGGGCCCCCTACTGACCCCGGGCCCTCGGGCAGTGCCCGAGTTTCCAAATGGTCAGTCCGCCCGTGCCTAGTACTGCCAGGTGGAAGTGCTAACAACTTAGCCACTGTGCTGACTATATATATATAATATATATATACAGTTGTGTTCAAAATAATAGCAGTCAGACATCACTAACCTGATCAATCACTGTTTTGGTAGAAATTATATTTCTACATGGCAAATAATTTACTAGCAGGTGTAGTAGAGTAATAGAAATCCAACAGACCCAACAGTCATGACATGCATGCTGCTGATTCTGTGTAATTGAATCACTAATTGAAAGGGGCATGTTCAAAATAATAGCAGTGTGGAGTTCTATTAGTGAGGTCATTCATTCTTTGAAAAACAGGTGGCAATTATTGCCCTTATTTAAGGAAGGAAGGCAGCACATGCTGGTTACAGTGCATTTCTCTATGAAATTCTGAGGAAAATGGGTCGTTCCAGACATTGTTCAGAAGAACAGCGTACCTTGATTAAAAAGTTGATTGGAGAGGGGAAAACATATAAAGAAGTGCAGAAAATGATAGGCTGCTCAGCTAAAATGATCGCAAATGCTTTAAAATGGCAACCAAAACCTGAAAGACGTGGAAGAAAGTGAAAAACTACCATTCGAATGGATAGAAGAATAGCCAAAATGGCAAGGACTCAGCCAACAATCAGCTCCAGGAAGATGAAAGAAGGTGTAAAGTTACCTGTGAGTACTGTTACAATTAGAAGACGCCTATGTGAAGCCAAGCTATCTGCAAGAAGCCCCCGCAAAGTCCCACTGTTGAAAAAAAGACAAGTGCTGAAGAGGTTACAATTTGCCAAAGAGCACATTGATTGGCCTAAAGAGAAATGGCGCAACATTTTGTGGACTGATGAAAGTAAGATTGTTGTTTTTGGGTCTAGTGGCCGGAGACAGTTTGTCAGACGACCCCCCAAACACTGAATTCAAGCCACAGTACACTGTGAAGACAGGGAAGCATGGTGGTGCAAGCATCATGATATGGGGATGTTTCTCATACTACGGTGTTGGGCCTATTTATTGCATACCAGGGATCATGGATCAGTTTGAATACATCAGAATACTTGAAGAGGTCATGCTGCCTTATGCTGAAGAGGAAATGCCCTTGAAATGGGTGTTCCAACAAAACAACGACCCCAAACACACCAGTAAATGTGCAACATCTTGGTTCCACACCAACAAGATTGACGTTATGGAGTGGCCAGCCCAATCCCCGGATCTTAATCCAATAGAAAACTTGTGGGGTGACATCAAAAATGCAGTTTCTGAGGCAAAACCAAGAAATAGAGAAGAACTGTGGAATGTAGTCCAATCATCCTGGGCTGGAATACCTGTTCACAGGTGCCAGAAGTTGGTTGACTCCATGCAACACAGATGTACAGCAGTTCTCAGAAACACCGCTTATACAACTAAATATTCATTAAGTGATTCAAAGGAAAGCAAAATCTTCAAACATTTTTCAGTTTATATAGTGAATGTTTGAGTTTGTAAAGAAGAATACAAACACTGCTATTTTTTTGAACAGTCTAATATTCACTTTTCTTCAATTTTCTTTAGAGGAACAACACAAATTTGATATATTTTTCTTCATGTTTTGATTTGGAATAGAATGTGTCGTGTTCCCAATGCATTTGTGTGTATGGAAATAAAAGCTATTAGAAGGATTTTGAGCTTTATTCACTTTTTTCAACACACTGCTATTATTTTGAACACAACTGTATATATATATATATATATATATATATATATATATATATATATATAAAACTACAGTATAGTGCCAAAAGTATTGGGATGTCTGCCTTTAAATGCACATAAACTTTAATGGCATCCCAGTCCTAGCTGGCAATACATTAGACAATTTGCTTGAAAGTTTTGCTTTAGATTTACTAAAAACGATATAATATGAGGTCAAACCTAAACAACACTTTCAATTGTATGCAATTAGGCAGACCCTTGCACTACATAGTTGAAGGTAAATCTAAAGGAAATTGGACAGGAAATTGTAAAAAAAAATTTATAGTGTATGGCCAGCCTTAGTCTGTAGGGTTCAATACTGAGCTGACTCACCCTTGTGCTTTACGCCACTGCATCCGGCACTTTGCATTGCACTTGGTGATGTAAGGCTTGGATGCAGCTGCTCGGCCATGGAAACCCATTTCATGAAGCTCCCTATGCACTGTTATTGTGCTAATCTGAAGGCCACATGAAGTTTGGAGGTCTTTAGCTATTGACTCTGCAAACAGTTGGCGACTTCTGCGCACTGTGCGCTTTAGCATGCGCTGACCCCGCTCTGTCATTTTATGTGGCCTACCACTTCGTGGCTGAGTTGCTGTTGTTCCCAGTTGCTTCAACGTTGTTATAATACCACTAACAGTTGACCGTGGAATATTTAGTAGGCAACCTATCACGGTACCATTGAATTCACTGAGCTCCTGAGAGCGACCCATTCTTTCACGAATGTTTGTAGAAGCAGTCTGCATGCCTAGGTGCTTGATTTTATACACCTGTGGCCATGGAGGTGATTGGAACACCTGAATCCAATGATTTGGAGGGGGGGGGCAATACTTTTGGCAATATAGTGTATACGCTGTTGGACAAAAAGATGGAAACACTACTTTCAGATTGTAAGCTACAGAGCAGGGCCCTCTGTAACCCAATGTATTACATTGTATTGTAATTGTAATGTTTTCCCTCATGTTGTAAAGCACTGCACAAACTGTTGGCGTTATATAAATCCTGTATAATAATAGTTTGCAGGTGTGAAGTGATGTAATCTTCTTTTGCTTCTGCTGTGTGATGAGACACCTAACTAACAGGTGGGAAGCCTCACTTTCCTCAGTCACTGCTTGTGCTGCTAGTAATACATGTCAGAGCCTAATGAGCTTCAGAGAGGGCAGATTATTGGTGCCTCTGTGACTGAAGTTGCCAGTGTATTTGAGGTGTCATGGGGTACAGTATCAAAGGTTATAACGGTATATACAGTTTCTGGGAAAACGTCGTCTGATAAGCATAAGAGCAGACAACATGGTCAACTGACCCAAAGAGACAAAAGGAGAATGTGCAGGATTGTGACCCTGAATAAAAAAAACAACTGCTGCAAAAGTGACTGCAGAGCTCACTCTCAGTCTTCCAAAGCCCATGTCCCCATAAACTGTGAGGAGGGAACTCCAAACAAAACATTCACAGGCGAGCTGCAATTGCCAAACCACTAGTGACCAATATTAATGCTCAGAAGAGGAGAGACTGATGTAACACCCATAAATCGTAGACTGTCAATCAATAAAAGACAGTAATATGGTCTGATGAATTGAGCTTCACACTGTTCCCAACCAGTGGACGTTTTTATGTGTTGCAAATATAGTCCCAAGCTTACGACCAAGAATATCTTATGCCAATGGTAAAGCATGATGGCAGTGCAATCATGGCTTGTGCAGCTATATCTTGGTATTCTGCACACCCCATCATCATCGTGAAAGATTGAGTCACTGCCAGCGACTATGTACAAATTTTGTCCAACCATGTGCACCCCATGGTGCAGACAATGCCATTTATTAATACGAAGATGAAGTCATGCACCTTCCTTGGGCGCCGCAGTCTCTGGACCTCAATATCCTAAAGCCACTAGGGTCAATTTTGGACAACAAGGTTTGGGCTCTTTTTCTGCCTCTCGTATCTCGGCGAGAACTGGAATGATTTTTGCATGAAAAATGGTTTTAAATTCTATTAAATTCCAATCCAAGACTTATATTTGTCAATTCCTAGAATTCTGGTTATCTTGGATGCCAAAGGTGGTCCAACATAATATTAGGTAACAATTTTGTTCTTTTACCTGGTGTTTCCATAATGTTTGTCCAACCCATATATATATATATATATATATATATATATATATATATATATATATATATATTCTTTTAGGCGAGCTGCACATTTGTATTTCTCGGAACAACTCCTGACTGCCCTTAGCCTCCTGGGATGCCCACGTCATTCATCCAAGGAAACTTCCTGGCAATCTACAGAACATATGCATGCACCACAGCACGTCATTAAGGGGCCACATTATCTGTATCTCCATGGTTACTGCAACCAGCCCCCTGATGACAAGTCGAAGCAAGAACCAGGAAGAAAAAGCTAGCACTTGATGACATAAGGAAGAAATATGGCAGCACTGGACTGGGTGTGCAGCGATGGAATGGTGGATTAGAATAGAACAACCGTAAATTCACTGGGTGTGTGAGCGTGTTTATTAACCTCTTCTTGCCGATGTGGTGCATATATGTGGCCTTACGACGGGTGGGTTTTAACACTGAGAGGCTGCATATATGTGGCCCAAAATATACAACTTTATGTGCTGAGAACACGAAAAAGACCGGAAAGCTCCTGAAGCATACTAGCGATGGGGTGCTTTCCGATCTTGTGATCACAGCGGTCACATGACCCAAATGTTCGCCTCCGCCTCCTGGCATTTAAAAGCTCTTAAAGGGCTGTGAGGCGGCAGGCAAAGGGCTTAAGGATAACCTTGAGAAAACGATAGATAAAAAACAAGAACATTTTCCATGGTATTTTACATGAACATTTGCGTAAAAAGATTTATTGCACAATGGGTGAATCCTTTATACATAAACAGTAGAATATTTAAAAAGGCAAGCTGATTCGTTATCACTGCCGTATATCAGCATACAATCTACATCATATTCATATGATCATACATGTACAGATTCCACTCTTCCAAGTTTTTAACAAAATATAATGGTAGGTAGATCCTTTAGTTTGATGCGTTTCGTGAATAAAACTTCCCTTCTTCAGGAAAAGATGCCCAATGTAAAGTCTGCAAACCAAAAAACAGTCTCATAGAGTGTGTTTTAAAATTCCCTCAAAGCAGGGAGAAGGTAGAGAAGGTACACTATTTATACATATAGTTATCCACAGGGCTTTTCTTCAGCAGGAACATGGGGGAACGCAGTTCTGGCACCTCCGTTACTGAATGTATGTAATGGCAAGGGGTGATGAGGTGTGTT